GCCCCTGGAGCTCGCGGTGGGCGGTCTGGACGAGCGGGGCTCCCTGCGGGGCTGCAGGGGACGAGGGAGCGCAGGGTGTGGGAGGAAGGATTCCAGACGCATTCGTTCCTTCATGTGTTCCTTCCAGAAGTATTTTTTTAAAAATATATTTTTATTGATTTCAGAGAGGAAGGGAGAGGGAGAGATAGAAACATCCATGATGATGAGAATCATTGATCGGCTGCCTCCTGCACGCCCCCCACTGGGGATCGAGCCCACAACCCGGGCATGTGTCCTTGGCTGGAATCGAACCTGGGACCCTTGAGTCCGCAGGTCAACGCTCTGTCCACTGAGCCAAACCAGCCGGGGCCAGAAGTATTTTTTGAGCACATTTGATGCCCGACACTGTTCCAGTAATGGGGACCAGCGAGGGGAGCCACACAGTCCTCAGCTTAGGGTGTGGAGGAGAAAATGTCTCATTGCAAACTGTGGGAAGTGTTTCAAAACGTCCAGCACCACATTTCTCCAGGCATCTAGTGACCAGCCACCCCCTCTCAGAGGGGTTCAGACTCTCCCCAACGGCTTCCTCTCAGGCACCTTTCTCAGTTTTCTCTGCCCCACCCCCCCCATCTTCTAAGGGCAACTCTGCCTTGAAATCAAACAAGCAACAGAAGTTAAAATGTGGTCAGAAAGCGAGGATGCCAGAGAGAGTTGGACTCCAAGGACCCAGAGAGTCTGGTGGCTAGAGAAGCAGCTGCCCAGATTAAACCCAACACCGCGGGCCTTCCCTCTGCAGCCTCCAGGCCCAGCCAGGAGCGGGCAGGAGTGCAGTGTGGGCAGGAGGCCGGGTCCATTCCTCACCCTGTCCGCCAATCAAGTGAGGAGGATTGGAATCCAGAGGGATTCAAGAACTTAAATATGTTTTAAAGAAGTTAATCCTTTATTAAAAAAAAAAATAGAAGTGGACATGTATCAACTCTGGAAAGGGAAGGAAAATTGGTTACAAAATATAAAGGCCAGCCATAGGAAAAATATTTACAGGAAATATAGCAAAGCACTCCAGGAATTGATAAGAGAAACACTGAGACCCTCCAAGCGAAATGAACGAAGCATGCAGACATGTCACCGAAGAGGAAACCGATTTGGTTAATAGCCTTACTGAGAAATGTTCGGCCTCAATAGTTAAATGAATGCAAATCAAAACCACGGCAAAGACATGCTAGTTCTCTATAGAGTGAGCACAGCTCGGGAGGAATGCTATTAGGCAAGGCTGTTGGGAAATGGGCCAGCTGGTGGGCATGCAACTGGCACAGCCCTTTTGTAAATCAGTTTGCCAGTCTGTGGCTTCAGCTTTTAAAAATATTTATTTTCTTTGACGCAATGACTTCACTGCTGGAAGTCTAGCCTGAGAGGAATAATATAGAAAAAAGATTATGGCCAAAGATGTTAGTGGCCAGGTTACTTACATTTGCAAAACAGACATAAAAACACAAAACAAATAAACGCATAAAACACTAGTTGGGCGATGATAAATTTAAAAAAATCCTCTGAAAAGAATTTATAAAAATGACATTTCCATGAAGATTGGGTAAATACGGAAAATGCTCATGTTATTATAAGAGCAAATTTTAAAAGGACAGGCATGAAGATTTGTACAAGTATAAAAACTATGAAAAGAAATTAAATTTCAAAGGAACAGCAGCAATCCAAAAGAAAAGTGGAGGGATGTTCAGCAATGACGAGCTGGGAGTGGTTCTGCAGTCATGTGGATTTCTTTCAAAAAGCAGGTGACAGGAACTTAGACTCATGAGACACCACGGGTGTTCGTGGGACCTTTGGTCCTAGTTGGTGGGACTGTCGGGTGATTCCCCAGGTGAAGAAAGAGCTGCAGGACCCAGGGTGGTTCTGACAGCCTCCCTTTTCACCCCCAGGACGCTCTGCCTCTCTCTGGCGGTGACTGCATTCCGTAACCCCCAAGGTGACTCCCGGAGCTGGGAGGAGCTGGGAGCTGGCTGCCAGCTGGAGTCCCTTCCTTAAGGAATGCCGGCTAAGGGGACCAGAGCTCCTCTGCCTCTGTCTGTGGAAAGATTGTTCATTCAGAATGAACAGTCTCAGGGAAGGACATTAACTGGCCCAGCTTGACTCCTGGCCCTATGATTAACCAGGGTGGTCACATGGCCACCGGGCGGCCACAGGACAGAGTTTGTTTACAGAAAGGAAGAGGAGGGAAAGATGCTGGTCAGTAAGAAGCAAGGCTGTAAGCACCGCACTCTCGGTCTAGTGTAGAATGAAATAAAGACATTTTAAGACATGGGGAGGTATCAAAAAATGTACCCCCCATGCACCATTCTTGGGAAGCCGCGAGGAAAGATGTTCTCTGAGTAAAGAAGGAATAAACCAAGAAGGCAGGAAATGTGGCTGTAGAAAACAGATCGAGCACAGAAAAGAAGGGAAGGGAATCTCCAGGATGTTGATAAAGGGAGATGCTGGGATGACAGCTGTGCCACCAGCACTGAGGGCGATCAGTCCTCACGGGAACCTGACACAGGAGACAGGAATGCGGACACTGTCCTCACCGTGCCCTCTGCCACTGCACTCTTTTCAGTCTGATGAAACTGTTGAATAATGTGCTCCACCAAACAAGATGCAAATGAAGAAAGAGGAAGCCAAGAGACCAAGGATAGAGGGGATTTAAACCAGGAGAAAGGGCGCTGGCCAGGTAGCTCAGTTGGTTAGAGCATTGTCCCAATGTGTCAAGGTTGTGGGTTCAATCTCCAGTGAGGACACATATAAGATACAACCGATGAATGCATAAACAACAAATCTCTCTCTCTCTCTCTTCTCTCTCTCTCTCTCTCTCTCCCCCATATCTCTATCTCTATCTCTATCTCTCTCCAATACAAAAAGTTTAGACCAGGAGAAAGGCAAATAAAATTCCAAAGGGACATTCTAGAGAAAAGAGAAATGGGAATCTCAAGGAGGGATGCAGCAGAGAAGAAGAAAAAAGGAAGTGATATTTTCTAACGGAATTGACCTTGTGGAGAATTGGAAAATCTGGGTAAGTACAAAGAAATGAACAACAACGAAGGCAATTATTTTTCCATTGATTTATTTTTATTTATTTATTTAAAATATATTTTATTGATTTTTTTACAGAGAGGAAGGGAGAGGGATAGAGAGTTAGAAACATTGATGAGAGAGAAACATCGATCAGCTGCCTCCTGCACACCTCCTACTGGGGATGTGCCCGCAACCAAGGTACATGCCCTTGACCAGAATGGAACCTGGGACCTTTCAGTCCGCAGGCTAATGCTCTATCCACTGAGCCAAACCAGTCAGGGCTTCCATTGATTTTTAGAGAGAGCAGAAGGGAGGGGGAGAGACACAGAAAAACATCAATGTGAGAGAGACACATTGACTGCCTCCTACACGAGCCCCAACCAGGGCCGGGGATCGAGCCTGCAATAAAGGTACGTGCCCTTGACTGGGATCGAACCCAGGACCCTTCAGTCTGCAGCCCGACACTCTATCCACTGAGCCAAACCAGCTACCATGAATAATTATTACAATGTTATTAACTATATTCCCTATGATATACTCTACATCCCCATGACTATTTTGTAATATCAATTTGTACTTTTTTTAATCTATAGAAAGAGAGAAAGGGAGAGAGAGAGAAACATCGATGTGAGAGAGAAAGTAGATAATCCTTTGCCTTTTGTAGGCACCCTAACTGGGGATCGAACCACAACCTAGGTATGTACCCTGGGCAGGAATTGAACCCACAATCTTTTGGTGTA